GGGGGGGCGGCTTGTTTTACAACGTCGTTGTCAAGCGACGAAAACCCAACCCCGATGGCAAACACCGGGGGGGGGACAGGATAATTAGGGTCGAGGCAAGAGACACACCTTTGTAGAACCACGGCAATAGCTGTTACATGTCTGAACCTGCCTTGTTCCTCTGCAATGCAACGAGAACGAGATGTTGTGATTACTTCGCCAGCAAGACGGCCGATGCCACTCTATATCCGCCCGTTCGCCTCTTTTCTTCACCCCCTAGAGGTGCTACTCATGACTGCGTTCCCTCCCAACCCCCCCTCCCCCTCGCGCTATGTTTGCTCGCCGGGACGACGGTAACGCGGCGCACCAACACAACCGTCACCACGAAAAACCACCGACGAACAACGACGAAAAGAGAAACCTTCGGCCTGGCCCAAGCCAAGCTCTTCGACGCGTACTTCAAGTTCAGCCTGCTCTGCTTGGCCGTAGCAGGCTTCACCGGCGCGGCACTAAGTTCCTCGTCCTCCGCCCGGAGCGATGGCGAGGACGGCAGCGCCGTTGGCACCACGCCGTTCCTCGTGGCCGTCGCGTGCGTCGTGGCCAACCTTGTGTTCTTCAGCCCCCAGACGACCATTACCATGATGGAGCGGAGCCGGGTCTGCAAGGAGTTGGGCGTGGACCGTACATCCCCTGACCCGCGGGTACGGAATCATTTTTCTGGTTCATCGTGAATTGCGGGGGTCGGCGTACGGCACGGCGGTGAACGTGGTGAATTTGCACATGGTGAAATGCGGGGGTCAGCGATATGCATTGAATTTTTCAATGATCCAAGTCTTCAACCCCAAACGAACCCTTTCGTTTTGAAAACGGCATTGGCGCATGCGCGCGCTCTCATGCTACATGCCAGAAGGGCGTTTCACAATGGAGCGCGTGTGGCCTCCTTTCAGTCATACCAGCCAATACCATTTCAGCGGAACCATACTTTGAAGCTTTGCGCAATGACCCGCACCTACTGAACTGGCGCCAAACACAACAACGAACAGGTGCGGAAGCTGAGCAAGAGGTTCGGCATGTTTCACGGAATAACGAACCTCATCAACCTGGTCGCCTTGGCTTGCGGCGCCATCCACCTCTGCGCGCTGGCCGAGAGGCTCAGCTTGTAGTCTGTCACAGCTGAATCGCAGCTTATTCGCTCTTTTCTCTTCGTGTATTCTTGTAGTTTGGTGTGGTGGCAAAGCGAAGTTAGCTGCTGTGGTAGTCTCTTGGACCAAGAAAGATATTCCATGTTCTCTTCGAGTACTCTGTAGCCGATGTCTGACGCAGCTGCGTTTGGAATAGGCGCGTGTGTTGAAGGTACGTAAAAGCTCATGTTAGAAATTAGACTGATTGTCCCGTGGGTATCTTGCGGGTGTAAAACGAGTTATGGAAGCAGGCGTGTTGAAGATCTTGTAATCTACTGGAAGCTCTGCGTACACCGTAGAACTAACGGGCTGGGGTAGGCCCGGGCCAGAGAATTCGAACAGCCTCGTTTATCTTTTTCAAATGTGAAGGGCGAGGCGTGATCACAGGTTATAGCTCGATCGACTCTACCGCGAAAGGATCGGCGTGTACCGAAACTAAGGCTCTTGCGCACTCGTTCCGTCATTTTTATTTTAGTCCTCTCGGTCGCCCAAGGGGAAAAACCGCCGTGCCATCATTCCGGAACCATCACCGCCCAGCAGCCCGTTTCGTGGTCATTTTCTCCCAGCCGGAAAGCCATTATTTTAACGAAAGCAACAACAACGCGTACCTCTTGCTTTCGGGACCTGCTGCTGTCGTCGATGGCGCTCGCTACAGTGCCGGAAAGTGTGAGCCCGAATACGGGTGCTTTGAAAAAAAAATAACCTTCTTCAACGAATTGAGCGGAACCAAAATATTCGTGAGAAAGCTCTCGCCAGCAGCGATCGAATTAAGACTATCCACAGCGCGGGGTTTTCGTTTTTGAGAAAGATATGGCTCCATTACCATCAATGCAGAAGGCACTTCATCCCACAAGAATCGCCATATCTCGATAACTACGGCGAACCCCGCGAAAAAAATTGCAGATTTGAAAAGCTCTCTTTCAGAAGTATTTTACTGCGGCGGAATCATCCCCGAGCGTGGTGAAGAAGAACTTAAAAAAAAATCAGAACCAACATTTTCAAATTTTTCGCCCACATCAGCCCCAACGGCTGCCACACATGAAGAATTCGCGGTCCACGCCCATGGCTTTTAAGCTGCGCGACAAGCCTTTGGCGACCATACTAGCAACCTTGGCTCAACGTGGTGGTGAGCTGGTCAGTGTGCGTCAGGAGAAGAGTCCAAAGAAGTATCGTGTGGAACTGACGGCGCACGTGCATGGATCCGAACAGCGCTGGTGCAGCCCATACATCAAGTGTCCGAAAGGCAGAAACACGGGTCGCGACTGGGCGGCCGAGGACCGGTTTGCTGCTACCTGGCGGCCATCCTTCTCTAGCGGCAACGTTCCCCACACTGATGCAAGTGCAGGCGAAGCCGAAGCTGCGCCTCCCCGAGAAAAGCGGCCGCGGGACTGTCGGCATGCTGCGGCATCCACGGAGGACGCACC